GCAATTTTAGTCACTTCTTATGCATGCAATTAATAAGTTAGGGTCTAATGTGTGACGTAACATTAATAACATATAAATTTTTTAATTAAACTAGTCTAGGGTCTCGTTTCTAGCCTAACTAAATTAAAAAGATTTAAACCGAATAAAAAAGCATAGTGTGTTTAGTGTTTAGGGTTTAAGAGGGTTTAAGCATTTCAATTAGGTTAGGGTCTAGCGATTAATATTTAGGGTTTAAGAGGATTTAAATATTTTAATTAGATTAAGGTATAGTGATTAGTGTTTAGAGTTTAAGAGATTTTAAACATTTCAATTAGGTTAGGATCTAGTGTGTGGCGTAACATGATTAACTTATAAATTTTTTAATTTAATTAGGCTAGGATCTCATTAAAAAAATTTAAACCGAATAAAAATATATTGTGTTTAATGTTTAGGGTGAGGAGGGTTTAATAATTTTAATTAGGTTAGGATTTAAAACTAATAAAAATAATAAAGTTAAAAAAATTTTAAAAAATGGAAAAAAAAAAAAGGCGCGCTCCCAACCCGCCCGGTGTTACCTATAGGTAGCACCGGGGTGCTTAATGGAACGACTGGACAGCAGTCATGTGAAAGGTGCCAAGTTGGTGGGAGGATGCTTTCTTCAAAAGTCTTAGTAAAATGGAAAGAGTATTTTGTTCTTTTTTTTTTTGTTTGTTTGAGAAAGGCTGATAAGGCGGCTGCCCGCTGCCAAAGCTGAAGCTTCAAAGAGTGACCAACCCTCAGCAGTCATTCTTTCAGTACAGGGCAATGACACGGTTTTTCATTCGAAAATGATCAAATTTTTACATCTGAAACGATGAAACATTCTTGCGTTCTTTGCTAATTTCGCTCTGCCGCCCTTTTGATACCTTTTCTTTTATTCCCTCGGCTTCAAAGAAAAATTAGGCCATCTCATTTTATCCAACAAAAAAGTATTACTACTATTTTGTGAAAGTGAGAGAATAATTTGTCTATTTAAACAAATAGGGGAGGAGGAATGATCACATTGTGCTTTGTTTTGTTTTTTCTTCGGTCTATATGTTCATAAACAACACTCCTTCCGGTCCTTAATATAAGGTATTTTGATTTGTCCTAGGTTTCACTTAGTACGCATTTTTATTTGACGAAAAAACCTTAAAATTTATTTTAATATTCGTTGTGTCCTCTTGATTGTTACGATATATTTTTAAAAGTTTTTTTGTCAATTAAAAATATGTATTAAGTGAAACTTAGAATAAATAAAAATGTCTTATATTAAAGAACAGAGAGAGTATTATCGATTCTTTGACCTTCTGAAATGTAGAGACTTGTAAGCGCTGACGTGTTCTTGTCTTTCCACTACTATAATCTTATTGGGGGGGGGGGGGAATGGAGTTCTTGAAAAGTCAAAAGCAAATAGAGTATATAAACATGTTAATGCATGCAATCTTCAGTCTTCACTCACAAAATAAAATCTCTGTTTTTCTTAAACACTCCCTAGCTAGTTAATTTTTCCATTTAGAAAAGAACATTCAATCATTCTGGTCGGGCCGATGGCAGCCAGCATTTCTTCTTCTGATGTGAAGCTACTCGGGTTCCGAGCAAGCCCATTCGTGAATCGGGTTCAATTTGCGCTGAATCTCAAGTCGGTTAACTACGAATTCATCACGGAGGATACCGATAACAAAAGTGAGCTCCTCCTGAAATCCAACCCGGTTCACAAGAAGGTCCCTGTTCTTATCCACGACGATAAGCCAGTCAACGAATCCCTTGTGATTGTGCAGTACATCGATGAGTTCTGGTCTGATGGACCTTCTATCCTCCCCGCATCTCCTTATGATCGCGCCATGGCCCGCTTCTGGGCTGCTTATATTGATGACAAGGTAAAATACTCCCTCTGTCCCAAAATTATTTTTCAGTTTGAGATTTCTGTTTTAGTACTCCTTTCGTCCCAAAATTATTATCCGGTTATAAAACTAAAATCTCAGACTGGACAATGATTTTGGAACACACGGAGTAATTCGGTTCTTTTCTATCCATTTTTTTTTTCTCCTTCAAATCAAAGCTCAATGGAGGTTTTTTTTTTTTTTTTTTTGCAGTTGTTTGGATTGATTTTGAAATGGCTAACTGATGCAAAAGACGAAGAGTCGAAGGCAGCAGTTCTGGAGAAGTTAACAGAAAGTGTAGGATTACTGGAGGAAGCTTTTGTGGAATCTAGTCATGGGAAGGGATTCTTTGGAGGAGACAATCCAGGGTACCTTGACATCGCTCTGGGTTGCCATTTGGGTTGGCTCAAGGTTGTGGAGATGGATGCAAGGGTGAAATTAGTTGACGAAACCAAGACGCCGGCGCTTGCGGAATGGTGTCAGAGGATTCAGTCTCATGAAGCTGTGAAAGGCACTCTTCCTGAGCCTGATGAACTCCTCAGCGCTCTTTAGAATGAACTTCTTGCTGAAGTTTTCCCACTGAAACTTGCTTGTTTCCTCTCTGCGAATGTTGTTTTGGAACTTTTTTCTTTTTGTGTTTTCGTATTGTTAATTTCATGTACTATTTTGGAATGGATTACATTTTGTTCTTTCTTTTCATTTTCCCTTTTGGAAATCTCATTTGATTCAATGGAAAAAGAAGCAGGGTGTTACAAAAGTTATAAAGAAAGATGTAAGGAAAAAAAATAATAATAAATTGGTTAAGTGAGACCTGGTCTGATGCTCCATCTATCCTCCCTTCCGATCCCTATGACCAGTCAACGGCCCGCTTCTGGGCAATGATTTCTGATTCGATTGCTTCAATCCAACTAATTGTAGCTTAACTTGTTCGTCCAAGACAGCTGATAAAAAAATAACCATATAAATCGATGATCTAGGTTCGAGACAATCTGTATTAGTTGCAACAAAAAATCTGATTCGTTTTTTTAGTGTTTTTTTTATTTTTTTTTATTGGGAATGTAAAAAAGTGTATTGGAAATGTAAAATGATATGTTGGCATAAGACAGTTATTATTCCTTCCGTCCCATAATTATTGTCCACTTTGTCTAAAAAATTTTGTCCCAAAATTATTGTCCAATTTGACTTTTTATGGATCAAGTTACACATTTGTCCTTAATAAAAAACATTATCCATAAAATCTTAGTGGTTAAACAATTACTTATATAGAAGTATATCCGGTTGTTTAAGGTAAAATATAGTTAAATTTGACAAAAAATAAAATTTTTCATTTTAGTAAAACTGGACAATAATTATGGGACGGAGGGAGTATTATATTATTCTAAAAAAATCAGTGACAAAAAGGAAACAAACAGCCCCATTCTCGTTGGAGTGAAAAATAAACCTTCTTTCATACAAGAGTGAGTTTACCATAGAACTAACACGTCATTCCCGTCATGATATTAGCGTTGGAGACAAATAAATTTATGACTTCTTACGGCTTTCTTATTTGCACAATATCGAATCCGGGGAAATGTTGCTACCTCCGGTACATAATCCGCTAATCATAGAACTGTCAAGATGGATTGAGTTTGAACCCAACCTGCTCATTTATACAGGTCGAGATTTTTAACTCTTAGCTGATCTTTATACTATTAAGTTTACCCGGGTTGACCCGTATAAATTTTTTTAAAAATACAAAATAAAAAAGTTATGTAAAAAATCAATAAATATGTATTTTATCATTTATTTTTAGATGAAAATAGTGTAATTTTAAATTTTAAAGAGACAAGAAAAATAAAAACATTTGTGAATTTTGTTAAGATTAATTAACATACAAATTATATAGTTGTATTTAAAAAATTTTAAGTATTTTATTATTATACGAGTTAAATGGATAATCCGCATAACCCGACAGGTCAACAAGAACCCGATCTAATTTATAAACAACTCAACCCAACTCATTTATAGTATCAAAATTTCAATTCAAATCTGTTTATTTCGTGTCGGGTTCATGTCCGGTTCACAGGTTGTGTCAGGAATTGACAGCCCTAGCTAATCGATTGGTTCTTAACTACCGTCTTAGTATCGATATAGTGGGTAATTTATATATACACATATATAGATGTGTATATATATATGCATATATATTATGGGTTTTTTAATTTAAAAATTAGAGAAATAAAATCGAAACTATTTTAGTAATCGAGAACACTAGTTTATTGCTGGGCAGTCGAACAATATCTAGTGCTTTTTAATGTTCCGACTGATCGCAAGATGAGCCAAGGAATAAATAAATTGAATTGCTAAGACATAATATTTCAAATTTCCAATGATAATTGCAGCCCAAATAGCTTCTATAATGTATAAAAGTAATAAAAACCAGCTGTGGAATCTACTTCTGCAAAATATATGTATTTTCAGAATCATAGCTTTAATTTCTGTCTCCAATTAAGCAGAGATCCTTCTAATTCTCCCCAAGCAGTTATCTTTGGGCCTTGGATGAGGTAAGTGCATTATTGGGCACGATGGATTCACCCTTTCAAGCCTGCACACCAAGAATAGAAGAAGCCCATGTATATTTTATTATTCATCCAACAAAATCAACATCTAGCCATCATGTAGAAGAATGATATGAGAATGCAACAAAAAATGCGTTGCTTACTCGTAATTGAGGAGGAAATAGTGAAGGAAAATAGCAATTTCAAGCTTCGCGAGATCATTTCCGGGGCACAATCTTGTTCCAGCTCCAAAGGGAAGAAAGGTTCCGGCTTTCGCTACAAGTCCCTAACAAATGGAAAATGAAAAATAAGCTACCCTGTCAATATAAGGGCTTCGAAATGATAAAAAAAAGCCGTGTAATCTAACTCGAAACCAAAATCAAAAAATAATATGAGTCAAAATAGTATTCTTATTAATAACTGATATTTGATTGCTAAGCCAACCGATAAAATCAGTTATAGTAATATCGTTATTAAATCAGAGATTTGATGTTACACCAAAGAAGAGGTAAGAAATGATTTACTTGCAACATTAAGATCGTACAATTATAAAAAGAAAGAAAAATGAGATTATCCAACTTACATCCCATCTTTGAGGATCAAATTTCTTAGGCTCGGGGTACACTTCAGGATCAAAATGGACACCTCTAAACCAGACCAAAACTTTCCATCCTTTAGGAATGGTATATCCTGAAACAAATAAGGTTTCGAAATTGTAATACATCAATGATCAATTGAATGGTTATAAACATGTATAAACAGAGATAAACAGGATAACAATCAATCCAGACCAATTAAACTAACCACTGATATTCACATCTTTCTTTGCCTCTCGGAATACCATCAACGAGAATGTAACCACGCGAAGTGTTTCATCAATCACCTTCAACATTTAGGAGCTACATAAGTAAGTATTTATTTTTTGCTGGAAAGTGCAAAATGTTCCAGATGATCTTGAATAAAGAGTCAGAATTAAGGTACAAACCTTGGATAGATAGTCCATTTTTCGATATTCATTGTACGTCAATCCTTGTTGACCTGGTGGTCTGTTCCTCACAATTTCCTCTTGCTCAGCCTGTAAGGCAATTCACACATTTTAGAACCTCGACTATATGGATCATATGTAACTATCGTTGATGAAAAATTGTTAATCAACATTATTCGGTTACCTTAGCTTTCTGCATGATTTCAGGATTCTTCTGTAAGAATAAGGTTGCCCACATAGCGGTATGACCAGATGATTCATGACCAGCATTAAGGTACATTACTAATATATCCACAATTTCCTCATTATCCAATCTCCTACCTTTCTCATCTTCAACATTTAGCAATAAATCCAACATATCTTCTTTTTCTGCAGTTGGATTTTCCTTTCTTCGTGCCCTTCGCGAACTGACAGCTCTGTCCAGGATCGCAGCGAGCCTTTTTCGAGCCTAAAATTTCATTCAAAATTGCTTGTCTTAGTCCAAAAGTGAAAAGGACATCCAGTGAAAAACAGGGGAAATATTCAGATTTTGGGTTTACCTTGAGAGCTCTGTAGAAAGCGAATCCGGGAAGGTTAATAGCCATTGATCTAACACCATAATTGATTTCAGTGTACTCCCTTTCTAAGGCATCACTAACTTCTTCACTTTCTGAACTCAAGAAAATGTGCATAATTATCTTGAAGGTAAGTTTCCTGATTTGAGTCAAAAACTCAATCTCTCCCATATTAGACCATTTCTCCAAGGCTGAGATCACATTATCCTCAATAAATTTCAAGTAAATGGACAATGCCTCGTGTCCATTAACCGGTGCAGCCGTCAATTTCCTCAATCTTTTGTGTTCCTCTTCGGATATTCCGATGAATGATTTCCTTCCCATGAGTTTCATTGCAGATGCAGGCCAACCAGGCTTGAAGGTCTCATCATCAGTTAAAACTCTCCTGCATGCTTCTGGTGTCGTTACAATAATACTTGGATTCCCAAACATCACTGTCTTGTAAAGTCCCACATAACCAAATCTGCATGAAACTCAATTCAATGAATTTGATGTCTTTTAGAATGTCAAGAAATTTCAAATGAAATGGCAAAAGTGCTCAATTAAACAAACATACTAAAGTGGCCGAACCACTACTTTAGTAATAAAATGAACCCCATTATTGTGATCGTATCTAATCTTTATTTTGAGCCATTTATGGTTGTCAAAGTATTGCCCTTTTTCGCATTTTAGACTAAGAAATTCGACACGGGTCCCTTTGTAAAATGGCCAAATCAAAAGTACAAGTGCTAAACTAAACATGATCATGCACTTTCCAGTGGAGTCTAATCTCCATCTTCCACGTACATATGATGAGAGGAAATACAAAATTTAATCTTTGATCCTTTGGATGAACAGAGGAGACGTTTAGAACCTTTAACAAAAGATTAATAAATTGCGGCTGATTGAAGATATGAACCACAGAAATCTTAGGCAAAAAAGAATATGAAAAAAATTAGATATTGGTTGGCGTAAAGGAATAGTACTAGTGGAAATAAATTATGATCAAAAGGGTAAAAACCGTTTTTTTTACTGCATCCTATTTTCTTTAATGTATGAATTTGCAGCAATTATCTCCCACAGGAAGAATACAGCCAAATTGAAGAGTAGTAAAAAGAGAATAAGAATGGCAAGTAAGAATATGGACTGCATGAAGAGCATTTGGTTCTTTCGCAAGAATGATAACTTTGGACTCATGGATTCACTAAAATACACTAGAGGAAAAAGGACAAGTTGGTTTCTAACCTGAGGATCAAGACAGGAAAAATTCAATTCTTTTCCACTTGTTTAATCTTGCATTGGGATCATTACTTTACCAACACACACACACACACACACACACAAAGAAAAAAGAAATTTGTTCAGCGGTATGATGTTGTTTTCTAGCATGGCTCAAAATAAGCATTGGTCAATGATCATTTATGGAGTACAATCTTTATCATCATAAGAGATTACTGTAATTCAATCAACAACAAATCTGGATTGATTATTGAAAAATCAACCTCATTGATTATGTTTTGTTGAACGGTGAAATAATGGTTAAAGAAAATGAAAGAAACCTGGTGGCGAAACTGGACATGAAAGAATCAGGATCGCCGGACTTGAAAGCTTTGAGAAATGAAAACATGTTGCCAATGAAAGGCCAGCCCAGATCACCTGGTGGCAGATCAAACTTCTTATCACCCAATACAGATTCAAATCTCCACCCATTCACAGCCTTCAGCAGCCATTTCAGCGCCGCGAAACCGCCATAAACCCCTATCAGAATCACCCAAATCAAGCCCAATACCTCCCCCATTAGACCAACCAGAAGCTTATAAATGGTAAAAACAGGAAGCTAAAACAGAGTATACAAGTGTATATATATTTATAAAGATTTCTCTTTTTGAAAAAGGGTCCACTCCAAAAACTTAATCAGTAAAAAGGGACAATGCTAACCAAGCATTAGCGGAAATGTTGAAGCTTAAAGAGTAGATATCTAAAACAAAAGGTGATGAGATGATGAGATTGGGGGTTGGGGGGAAATGGTGGGTATTTATAGAAGAACAAGATGGGATTTTTGAGATTTATTTTGCCGGCCTATTCATGTTAGTGTAGTAAAGCTATTTTTATGCTTTGTCATCTTGCTCATAGGATCTTAATTTGGAAGAAAGCAACAATCTTTTTTTCTTCTTTTATTACTTATGGTTTGTTTATATATGTACCACTGATTGAAGGCTAATCAAATTCGAACTAAATGAGTCTCTCATTAAAAAGTAAAAAGTATTCAACAAGTAATTTATTCAACAAGAATATGAGTTTTACTTCCTGAAAAAGACTTACCCGATTCGAATCCGAATTGACTGAAATAATGATTTCGGACATGGTGTGCGTAATATACCAAAAAAATTTAGCCAAATCCTAATAGCATAAAATGAAAACATAGTCCGGATAAAAATTAAAAAAACAATAACTACGTCATGTTTGAGTAACCGTTTATGGTCATTGTTATTAACTGAACGTTTATCCATAGTAATTCTGACTCGATACCAGGTACTTAAAAACCTTTCATATGTCCAAGCGCATGTTCACTTGACAATTACCATACGTGTTGTCGCGGGCCTTCGACGGTCGAAACTAGTAAGAAATCTTGTTTTTTTTTTCCCTTTCTTCAAATCCGTTTGCTTGATTTATTATGGTAGTTTTATACTTTCATTAAGGTCAAACATTTTTTGGCCGTTCTTTTTCTTTGTTGTCCAACTTGCAAAATCTACAAATAACTATTTACCTAATTGGATTGAAACTAACATACAGAAACTTAGACGATAATACAATATTAAGTAACGTTTAATGTTGAATATTTATCGTATTTTTATCATTAATTGATTGAATCAATTTTGATTCAAGACGGAGCAAATAGTTGGGTGAGGTAGTATGTGGCCTAGGACGAGAGATTGTTATTATCATGATATTCATTTGTATGCAATCTAATTTAGTTTTTAATAGGAAATAAACATTTAGTGAAAGAACTTGTATAGAGAACAATTTCGTTTTTACTTTCATTTTTATTTTGAAATGTGATATAAGAGGTGTTTTCTAAGAAGTTATGTGGATCTTTTTTAATAAAATACTAGAGCATTTGATTTGTATCATGTTTCAATTTAGTATGTTCTTCTAATTAAAAATCAAAATCTTAAAAATATTTATAATTATAAGAAGAACACAATAAATGTGAAGACATATTTTTGAAGTTTTACTTTTAATTAAAAGAATATATTAGATGAAAATTAAAACAAATCAAAATATCTTATAATAAAGAGCAGATGGAGTATTATTTTATTTATTCACATCTCTACCACTGAACGGATTCTAGCCAACTAAATATTGATTCATTCACACTCACCGTCGCCAGACTCTACCGTCGACCGGAAGTAAGCTGGAATCTGGCAGGTAATTCGACAGTGTGGATGACACTTAGGAGGCCGCAATGGGTAGTCTGGTGATAGTGAATAAAAATTTATGTAAAATTAATGTTTAGGGTAAATTTTAAAATTTAAATTGAAATGTTGTATGAATAGTATTTATTTTATCTCGGTTTTTTTTTTTATTTAAAAGGCAAACCAAAATTATTCTGGTTTTAAACCGCTGAGCATACAGGGAGTAATTTCAATGTACCTGCATATGCAGAAAATCTCACGGAAGTCATTTCTTATAAGCATAAAAAAAAAAAAAAATACTATGGCGCAACTTAATTATGATGTACTTCCTCTGTCCCAAAATTATTGTCTAGTTTACATTTTCATTTTCAGTACAAATGGGACAGAATTATTGTCCAATTTGCATTTTCATTTTCAGTACAAATTGAATTATAAATGAAAAGTCAAACTGGACAATAATTATGGGATGGAGGGAGTATTTATTTTGGTAAGGGGAATTTGAGAGATGGGTAAATCCTTATCCATTGCAATGAATTGTAAATAATATTGGAACGTAAAATTGTTCTAGGCAAGTTTGGGGAGTTATGTCTTATCAGGGAATATTTTTAAAACGTGAAAAAATGAGACTGAACGCACGTCTGGATAATTTTTCCGTGGTTAGATTGGAGTTATCTGCTATCCTCGTATCTGTAGAGAGCAAGAATATTCTTTGCTGTTAAAAAAAAAGAAGAAGAAGAAGAAGTTATGTTTTGTCCAATGATGTTCTCACCATTGATCAGCAAATTCAAAGCATTAAAATCAATAATGATATTCTAATCCACAACGAATTGATATGTTAATTTATTTATTTAACATTGACTAAATTAATTAACGAAACTCTCTATTTGAGGAGTTGCTGGTCACAACCTCAAATTGGAAGAGTTGAGAACTTGATCGAGATTGGCAAGATTGGTCGTTAGTCTAAAATTTAATTACATTTTGTAAATAGATAAATCTTACGGTTAGGGAGAGTACATACTGCATTCAAGTTGGGTCTTGATTGGTTAATTATTGGTGTGAAATATGCCACACTGAGCTTCTTCTTTTTTTTTTTTTTTTGACAAAATCCACACTGAGCTTTGAAAACAAAAGAAACAACAAAAGGAAAAAACAGTATACGATCAAATTTTTTATCGACGAAATTACCGAAATGCAGAATATCTGTGAGCAAAATTTAAAATTTGTAAAATTTTCATTTGTTTCCTTTCATAATTATGGGGTTCATTTTGTGATTACAAAGTCTTGAAGGGTGATAATTGCAACTTCGAAAACATTTGAGAGAGGGATAAAACGGTTTGTAAACCGGGTTTTTTTTTTATATAATAAATAAACTTCCATTAATGATTACTGAAAATGGTCCAACGCCAGAGAAACAAAACTAAGAGATTCAAACGGGGTTGCTTTTCTTGGAAGACTTGATAGTTGATTAAACTTTAAAAGACAGTCTATATATTAGATCAAGCAATGCATTTTGACCGAAGTTTGATGGAGAAGTCTCTCTCGCTTCTAGACGTCATTAGTAATTTAGTATCTACTCTCTCTTCTTCATTTTAAAACATTGTTTAAGGGTTTTTTTGGTGATATTTGATGTTTTTAAAATTTCATTTATAGTATAGTTTCAATTTTACCGGAACTTAAATTGATTGAACTTTGATTTGATTGACTCCTAGAAATACGAAGACCTTTTTTATGTTTATAATATACAGTAGTTCACCAAAAATAACGAATTTAACTAATACATCTTTAATTCTTAGGTATCTGTTTTTTTTTTAACTTCCTATATGATATCATTTCTAATTGAGATAAATAAATAAAAACTTATTCTAAAACAAAAGAAGTATCTCGATGATTTTACTAAAACAGGAAGGTCGGTTTGAAATTTCACAAACCCGAATGTTTTCCGACCCCAATAATTTTCAATGGCCATAAACTAAGCAGATTTCTCTTGTCACTTGGAGACGAAATGTCAGGTTGGCAGAACCAAAAATTTAGTGCAAATCTGATTATGATTATTGTCCTCATTTGCATGATTTATTTTCTTTCCGGTTCAGAAGTTTCAATTGTGGCTTCCGATTTCTGAAATCTAGTTGGCTGAAAATTTCGGATTGGTGCATATTCTTTGCATCCTTCAATTAAAATTTGTGGCACTTTATATAAATGGGGTGGTTTGGCTTTTCTTGGTGTGGATTACCCAAACACGAAGAAGAACTCAAATTCTTTAAAATTGATCAAAAGAAAGTTTTTGTGTGTGCGCTTTTCTCAAAGCAATAAAAACCAAAAAACAAAAACAAAAAAAAAAAAACCCACCATGAATACGGCCAAATCCCAAGCTAATCCCACACCGTACCCATGATTAGACGACGACAGTGATATATAGTCAGATGTGATAATTCTATTCCTATCTAATCCCATCCGTCCAAGTTGAGTTGATCATTACTTTGAGAATGAAAATGACATTATTGATGTTAGGTTTTTTTTTCCTTTTCTCAATATAATAGGTGTCCATCCATAATTGTAAAAGTTTGGAATCGTGAAACAAATTAGTAAAGAATTTAAGGTGAAATTTAGCGTACCACATTTTAGTTAACGATGATTGAGTCACTATCGATCAAACACAACCTTTGAATATGCATTTTTTTTTTTTAAAAAAAAAACCCTTTGAATATGCGACATTTTGTATCAATACATAGGAAGTTCTTTCTTATGTGTACCTATATCTCAAAAGGAGGGGGAAAGAAAAGGAGAGGGAGAGAGATTGATAGGATAGCCATGAACAGAATAGGCAAACGAGGGTTCAATCTTACTGGTCAATCAAACTACTTGAAAAGTTTGATGAACTTGTGCTATAAACAGTTTTCTTCATGCACAGCTGGAAATAACATGGCCTGTTTTTGGTGATCACTTATGTTAATTTTGATGAGATCCATTTTATTACATCTCTGTGATGATCATCAATAAATCAGTTCATCAAACCACAAATGAGGAATCCAACCTTCCTAGAGTATATAATTTTGTTCACAATATTAAGCCTTTAATTTCCATCGATATGATTCGTCATCCTATTGCACCTTTATTAATCTATAAATTTCGTTTTGATATGTCAGGTAAAAATGCGTCTTTTAATCATGTTTGTTTCTCAACTTTAAGATTTACTACTTATATTGTTGATATAACTTTTTACATTCTCATGCAAATAATGCACACGGTATAATTGAGGTTGGCTATCAGTAGGGCTTAGAAAAAGGGTACACATTAGGGCTAAAAAATATAGGTACGTAGTGTTGATTGAACTAATTAAAAGACCAACACATATATGTGCATGATTTGCATGATCAGCTTACTTCTTTTCCCTTCCATTTCATCAAACCCGTAACTATTTCCGTTTTAAAATAGAAGTCAAGTTAAAGTAGAAGCCATTTCTGTATTTTAATCTAAGAAATGGAACTTTTTACACGCAAATGTTTTCCTCTCCATTTGTCAAATTTTAATATATCATTCATAAATGATATGTTCTCTTGATGTGACCGAATGAGTTCAACTTCAACTTCAAGTGCGTAACTGCATTTACTAGAGTGGTACATCCCTATAAAAGTTTTCATGATCATACATTCCGAAGTGTCTGCTAAAGTATTGACACGAAGGAGAGTTTGTGTGGTACTTGAGATCCAAGAGATGGATT